AAGTGTTATCTAAAGAGACATGTTTGGAGAAAAATCATATTTTAAAATAGAATATTTAAAATATCTAGAAGGAATCTTTGTTTTCACCCACTTTCCATTCTATTTGATTTCATCCCATTTTTCCTTCCAGTGCACTAATAACATTAAGATGCGTTATGTTGCTTTGTTTTGACTCATCGCACAATAGACAAAGAACAAAGGATGAAAACGAGTGTATTAAAGGACTCTCTAATAACATAATTAACTTCAGTTACCCACCTCTTACCTGTTTTTCAGGGGAAGTCTCTGAGGACTTTTCTTCTTAAAGGTTTTTACTATTAGTATCTAAAAACCTTAGATTTGCAAGTATTACTCATGGAACTTTACACACTCTAGATTTGTGTAAAGGTACAGAAATGAAGTTTTAGTTTCAAAAATTGCCAAGTTGATTTACCTTGTTAATGAGTATAATTTGTCAGTCACCGAACAGTGCAAGTTATGCTGGAGAGAAATTATACAGAGAGAATAATGTAATTATCCCTTCTCCCAAGAGAGTTAACATTTAGGACAGCTTGCATTAGGAGAGTTTTTATTAGAATTTTATATAAACTCCCAGAGAGTTTATTACTGCAATAAATGGTTTTTGTTTATCCATTCATTTGATCAGAATTTTTATTGTGCTCAGTTCTGACTTGATATAAAAGTTGCTATTAACATCATGAACATCTTTTCATGAACACTTTGTGTTGTAAAGTGTTAGGTTTATTCTCCCAAACTTTTGATAATTCAGTTCTACATATCTGACAATACTTGGTATTTTTATTCTTTTTCATTTTAGTAATTCTGGGTGAGAAGTGGTAGCTCAGGATAGTTTAATTTCTGTTTATTTGCTTCACGATAATGTTCAGGTACTTATTCACACCATGCAATTCTATAGTGACTTGCTAGACCAGATTGATCAGAATTCTTACATATTTTAAATTGGGTTGCTTATGTTTTTCATAATGATTTTTAATAATGTGAATACATTTATTTATTATATATAACAATTCATATGTATGATTAAATACATACACATGTATGAATGTATATGTTTGGATATGAAATTATTTTATTACCATTTGTTAAAAAGATTATTCTTTCCTGATTGAACTGTGATTGCAACATTGTTAAAAACCAAATGATAAGAAACTATCTCTAATTTGGACTTTCTACTCCATCCCATTGATTCATTTATATATATTTGCACTAGTACCACACTGCCTTCTTTCTCAGGTATATATATTTTAGCTTTCAAAATGGAACAGTACTCTGATTTTTTTTAATGGAATAGCAAATATTGTCTCAATGAATTCATCTGGCCTTCAAAAATAAACTAACTCCTCCATAAAGTATTTTTAAAATACTTTTAATTGACTTTTTTTCAGAATAAATTTTAACCTAAAGAGAAGTTTCAAAAATAATGTAAGTAATTTCATTGTAAACTATACCAAATTGTCCTTGGAATTAAATATTATATAACAATATACGATGTTAACATTGCTTTATTACAGTGAAATAAGGTATACACTACATTCAGGCTTCAATTTTTTCCCACAAAAGGCCTTTAATCAAATGAAATATTTAGCCAGATGAAATCACCTACAAGTGTGATGACCCAAACATAAGAATATCTCATGGAATTGTTCAAATTGTAATAGGTATAATGTCCCGGGAAGGGTCGAGATCATTGGAGATATTTGATCAAAAAGTAGACATGTCAAGGAAAGAGAAAGCCATGTGAGATTTGTCAGCCTCAGAGAGGACCTAGTGTAAATAGGCACCAGTGAGCGAAGCACAGTATCACGTTGATGGCAGTGTGTTCTAATGGAAAGTGCACATGTGATACAGGCTAAGGCCACCCTTTCTGTTCCTTATTTTTCTTATAAAATTAGAATAGCAATAATCAACATAATGCTTTCTACCTTAACAAGATTATAGGGATGATTGGGATAAGTGGGTTCTGTGAAAGTGTCTTATAAATAACAAAACTAGAATAATGAAGAAGATGAGGGTGGTAATAGCCCTCCCATATATTAAAAGGTAAATGAAAAAACACTTGTTCCTCTTCCTGTTCCTATAGAAACAGAAGATCCATCCAGTGCTTTTTCCAGGCACAGAACATCATGCCTTTGTACAGGCTCTGGCATGTGACCACTTAAACACAGGAGTAGGTGGCATTGAGTGTGACAAGCGATCCTGCTCTTTAGCCAGTCTGCACTTCCACTCGAATTTTTCTCCCTGGTAGTACCTTAAGAGAACTGATCATTTAAAACAAGGAAGCCATACTTATGCCATTCTCCGTCCTTAATGATTCCTTAAACTAGCATCACACACACACACACACTCACGCACACATACATATTCTTATACACACACCGCAGAAAAGTTGAGAACATCTCTCTGAAAAAGATGTACACCTAAGTTTGTGAGTTTATCTGGGTAGAAATCTATACAGATCATATGATTGTGACTATTTTCTTGAGTAATTAAATAGGTATTATCAAACAAATAAGGGGAAATTTTCCTAGGCTGATGGGATTGGCTGAGCCAAATAAAATAATGGGCTTGGGTTTCAAATAGTACAGAGTGTTCACATGTTACAGCTTTTGCCAGAGACTGGCAGGAAAGATACCATAAAACTGTGTGGCACTTTCAAGCCAGATTAGACAACTGCAACTCTTAACCTTGTGGGTTAAAAGGTCCTTAATGTTTTATAAGAAGACTTGATTTTTTTCTGTTTTAGAAAGATAATTGGTATTTGCAAATAAAACATGAACAATCTTCACAACTTCAGAGTGAGACAGAAATAAGTTGGAGGAGGCTGGCAGATCAGATAGGAGACCATTCCAGGACCGTAATGTATGCTAAGTAGAGAAGTATCATTAAGAAAGTAAGGGAGGATATCAAAGAAACATTTCAGTGGCAATACCAATTAACATTTCCAATATGAAGGACAGTACAAAAATAATTGTTGTATTGTGCTTTAAATCTTAGATTATTTTTTTAATAACCAAGTGTGTGCCCAAGAAGACATGGTGGGTTCACCAGATATATGAATATGGTGATGTTTCATCTTGGAAATGTGCTAAGGGAATTTCACTCTAGGATATTTAGATAGCTTTATTTGATTGACAATTATGATTTCAAATGGAGTTACTGAAATATATAGGTAGTAGCACAAACAACTATTAAACCCATGAATATTTGGTTTAATACTTCCCAACTATTGGGATCATACAGGGAAAGAACTTTGAGGAAAGAGGGCATGCACTATGGAAATACGTATAACTAATAAGTAGATTGAAGAAATACAGTCCTGAAAGATAAAAAAAATCTTAACCATTACATGATCACCATCTTGATTTTGTACTAACATGGTCCCTGGGGTCTTACATCATTTTCAAACCACATTCTTGAGACTAATGACTTCCTTTGGACTAAGGACATACTGAGTGACTCCTATATGTTGTGTTATAATGCAAATATACAGAAGCAAATCAGACTAGAATGTGATCCCAAGAAGCATGGCATTGAATGGTAAGAAAAGGGTTGAGCACCTGTTACTTCTTCTATTATTGAGCCTAATATGTATCGACATCATTCAACAGAAAAATTGGTGCTTCCATTAGGACCACAGTTTGAGAAGCTGTTTCAAATTTTGACAATTCTATGCAATTAAAGCTACATCATAATTACAGGATGCTAGCCTTCAGTCAATGAAATGGGAACTTTAACTATGAAGTAGACTATGGGCAGAACTAGCTAACTAAAATTGTAAGGAAATTTTTTACATAGCTTCCACTACTACAGTCTTAATATTGGTGTCCTTCCAAACAATATTAAGAGAAGGTGTTTTTAAGAAGTGATTGAATCATAAGAGCTCCACCCTTCTGGATGGGATTGCTGCTATAATGAAACAGGTTAAAGGGAGCTGCCTTGATCCTTTCACTCCTCTGCCATGTGAGGACACAGAAATGAGGTGTCATATGAAGAAAGAGTGTCCACCAAACGACAACGCTTCAAGTCCCTTGATTTTGGACTTCCCAAATCCTTAAACTGTGAGCAATATAGTCCTAGTGTTTATAAATTAACTAGTCAAAGGTATTTTGTGGTAACAGCCTGATGGATTAGGACAAGGCTTATAATCTCATTTTTACTCTCTGACATCATTTCAGAGGCTCTGCATCCCCCTGTGGCTGCCCGGAGACTGTCAGCAGGAAGAGTGCCAAAGTGTGTGAGTTATATGGCTGCCACCAGAATTCATGCTCCTATCTCCAGTCCCTAGTGGATATACCATTCTTAAATGGTAATGTATGAGAATAATAATTAGAAAATTAAATTCCTCCACAAAAGCACAAAACTACAGACCAGTTAAATTCATTCCCTCTGAAGTTCTCTAACAAAAGCATAACACTTATGTGAAATGTTGATGATTAAATTATTTTGGTTGGGGCATTCTCTATGTCTTTCAAGGCATGTCACATTTATCCATTGATACAGTACTCATGGATTTCTCAACAGGCTGAAATTCAAGCATCTGCCAGGTGTCATACAAAAGGCCATAGTGCTGTTTCATACAGAGGCTCTTCCTGGTTCATACAGCTACTATTCAGGCGAAAGCCTTTTGTGATGAAAACAAAACTCAGTAAGCTATTATTATTTATAAACCACTAAGTAAATTCAGCATGGTCTCAATTTGTTTTTAATTTGTTTGTAAAATTTACTTATGACATTATAAATGTTTGTATTATTGAATCATCTGCTTCATGAATTTAAATCCTAGTATTTAAAAGTAGCCCATCATCTTATATACTGTTTTAAAAAAACTATCTGAAACAAAACAGCTATATTGAACCAAAAAATAATTATTTTACAAAAATATTCTTTTTTTTGGTTGGTTGCATATTTGGCCTGGAAAATCAAGAAAGCATTGGGATAGTCTCACAATTGATCAGAGGAAAACAATCACACTGTACAGACTTGTTGTATTTTTTATTATGATAAATAGGGAAAACTTAACAAACTTCACAGCATATTAATAACATGCTGCAAATAACAACTGTGAACCGTTGGATGGTTTTGTATTTGAAAAAACTATGTACATAGTAACTTTTATCAAAGAAAGCCCCAAAGATGTCAACTTGAAATTATTAATGAAATTTTTTTTAGTTCTCAGTCTCAATTTTGTAATTTTTCAGCATCTATATTGCACAATGACTTAGAATCAGATGAGTAAACTCTAATGTCTTCTTTAGATAGCAAGGAAAAGTTAGCCCACAAATTTCTAGGAAGCAGCTGGGTTTATTTCCTAAATCACTTATGATAAGGCTAAAATGGCTATGATAACTGCAGAGTTGTACATTCGCATTGCTAGTAGAGCAGAATGCATAATTCTTAGCTAGGCCATGGAGAATTGTAGACGTGAGGATGTGTTGAAAACCAATAAAATTAGAAACAGGGAAGAAAATTCAGTAGAAATGCTAAGAGTAGGAATTAGGACTGTAAACCAGATGTCTGAGAGGGTCAACTCACCAGTGTCTTCTGCTGGCCAATGTAAGGAAGAAAAACTCAAAGAAAACACCATGTGACTGTAATTAAGCAAAAGTATTTACTACTGATGTTTCTTTAATGCTGTAAGGATTATAGTAATAGAAGCCAACTGTGTTTTCAAGGGCAAGAAACCTTGCCACTAAATAAGATAATGTCATTTTTTCTGATGACAAATAAAAAAGGGCGATCAGCTCTAAACACTGTGGACTCAGGAAGTTGCTTTTCTACAATGTTATTTTCAGTGGCTGCAGCTGCCTCCGTACCCTCCTCGGAGACCTCTATATATGATCTGTGCATTAGTTTCGATATATAGAGACGACCTCCCGAAGCTATTCCAGAGAGATCAGCTTTGGACTCATCAAAGATATCTTTCAGCCCTAGAGCTTCCAAATAGTTTTTCATCTCATACTTCTTGTCTATCTTGAATTTAGGAAGAAACACCTCCACATACTGAGATTTCATTTTTTTTGGATTGGTCCATTTCATTAGATTCCTAAAGGACAGGCTTCTTTCAATCTGTAGGAATAATGAAAAGTACTTTAGAATCGCATGGTAAAGAAAAAAATAACAACTACAAAAAGATTTTTGCAGTTAAGTACATGATTAGGTCCTAAGGCAGTTTGGAAAGAGAAAATGATTTAAATAAATAATTTAAGTGCTTTTTACAAACCACAAGTTTAATTTTCTCTGCTGTGACAAGGTGTGGCTTGTTTACACTGCAGGATATGTCTGTTCTCTGCCCACACAGGAACAGACATAGCCAAAGTGGAATAATCAGCAGGTGAAAGAATGTGGAAACCAAAAAATCATCAGTGGTAGAAAAAAAGAGCTCAGTAGTTGTTTAAATCAGATTTTGTTGGCCATTGTTCTGGTATGAAGATACAGAAAAAATAGTTTCACAGCTTGTACAAGTAAGCCAGTAAAATCCAGGTAGATTGAGGCAAACTCCCCAGAGTCCCTGTCTTGAAAGCTTAGGAAATCAATGTCTCTCAGCAGAATCACACACTTGGGAGCCCGGGATTGAGTTGGTTTTCTTACTCAAAAGTTGACATAACTGAAGCTCAGGATGATGTAGGGAGATATACCCAGTGTGCAGAACGAGTAACCTTAGCTATGCAATTAGGTGCCGGTATCTCTCTCCAACTCTATGGCTACCCTCAAAAGATTCACAAATTCAATCTGCCAGATTTTGAATGTTGAAAACTGATCATAGTTTCTTCTAGATTTATAATGGAAGGATTTTTTAATGACCATTGTTTCCAAATCTTTATACAGACCTATCCCCTCAAATGTAGAATTATTGTAATTTTTTCTCAGTTTTTCATATATATTAGCATTTACTTGTATTTATATCAAGTTCCTAAATCTACACAGACAATCTGTTTGAATTTTCTGTGTGTAAGTTTTCCAGTTTGTGAATAACCTAAAACTTGTTATTATGAGTTGGAATTTTTTCACATTCACCACATTGCATTGCCAATTTTCTCATAATTATTTAGTAAGTTAGGATTCTATAAGTATTCAAACTTATAAAGTATGTAAATTTATACAAATCTAATTTGCATATATTAAGTAAATGTGTTATGGTAAAGAAAATTCACACACTAAATGCAAGAATAAATCTATCTTGTAAGCTATCTACTGCTTGTTCTTTGGACTACTTTATTAATATAGAACAATTTAAGTTCAAATAAATGATATTTGCCAAAATCTTTTAAGACTTAGATTATAAAGTGAATTATTGATCAAATATGAGTAGCAATATTTTATAAGCCCATATTAGATTTTAACAATGCCAGATGTATCATAGTTTTCTCAATGTTCTTTTTTAAAAAGGCTATTAAGATGAAAATCTAATGAGAAAAAGTGATTACATGGATAAGCGCTCTTCTATATATAACTAAATTTCCAAAGCTTTAAAAAGTCAATTTCAGCCTCTATAGTGGTATCTGCCACATTAGTAGACACTTCTTATATATTTGTCCAATAAATGAATAAGTAGGTGTGTAAATAACTACTATTCTAACAAACCAAAATGTCAAAATCAGTGGATAAAAATATAATCAAGAGTATCCTTATTGCCTTCTTATTCCCCATTAAATGAAAGAACAGTAACTTACTTGTGACAGGTCACTTTCAGGCAGCAGAATATACATGCTCATCCCACCATGATATATGAGCTGAAGCACCTGCATGGACGGCTCCTGAATTGTGGTCAGATTGAACCTCCGTTCTTGATGCATCATAGGAACAACTTGCTTAGAACACTGAAAGTCAAGTCATAAAAAGTTATTTATAGTCCCATTTCATTTTATATTTTGGCCAAGTACACATAAAATTGTTGTATGCATCAGTTGACACTAGATTTTTTCTGACATATTACTAATCCTGGCTAGATTAGTGAACATGTTAGTGTAAAATCACAGATTCTGGGCTTACTATCTGAGTTTAAAATTTCTAAATAATGTAATATAAGGGTAAGTAACTTCTCTGTATCCCTCTATATTCTCCATTTTAAAAAAAAGACAACAATAGCCCCAGTGGCATAAGTTTGCCATGTAAGTTATTACATTTAGCAAGAGAAATATTGACTTGTACTTAGTGTTTTAACAGAAATTGTCTATACAATTAACCACTAAACAATGCTAAAATGAAAAGTAGATGCCACAGAGTTTTTTCTTCTTGAAATTACAATATAAATTAATACTATCAAAAATGTATAATTTAAAAATGAAGTCTGGAATAATTAAAACTTTCTGCAAGATATTTGGTAATATCCCTTCAACTGAAGAAACTCAGTAGCTCTTTTTCTGTGGATAGCATACACTGATTTAAAAGCACCACAAAGGCAATAACTGTCTTTTTCTTAATGATATTATGATCTACTAATTTGTCAATACTTCCAAAATACACCTTTGGAGGCGAAAGTTTCTACATGAAAGAAGACATAATTTCATGTCCTTGAAGTACATATCCTTCTCCTTTTGGAAAAGTTGCCCTCTTTTGACTTTGAGACTAGTTCTCAGGAAGAAAAAACATAGAACAATGAAGACAAAGAGCTTATCTGTCCAGTAAGACGGGTCAGGTGACGTGTGCCTGGCTAAGGGGGCTGGGATGGCATGACCACAGTGCTTCATGTCTATATGAGGAAGAGGCAGAACCGCATGCTATACCAGTGATTTCACATGTTTAATGTGAGGAAACAATACTAATATCAGTGATTGAGGTTCCACAGTCTACTCCATTATAAATTATGTGTTATAGTAATATTATACATAATGTGTAACACAGCTGGAAGAGGGTTTAAAACAAAATTTTTATAGGATATTACTTGGCAAAATAAAAACTTCATTACAAGGAAAAGCAAAAGCAAGTGAAACAAAGCCTCAACCTAGAAGTCAGCAATATTTTTGGTTTTTGTCTTCATTGTTGAAAATGATGCAGCAAATGCAATTTATCATGGGCAAAGATGAAGGAAGAGGTAGAAAATAAAACATCACTTCAAAACCCTGTCAAAATTCTAGTGCTACCTAGTATGCTTCATATTATTCTATTACTATTTAGTACGTTTCTTATAGATAAAGCTTCAATAAGGCAGAGTTGTTTTTTTTTTTTTTTTTTTTTTTTTTGATACTGGGGATCAAACTCATAACCTCACATCAGGCAAACACTAGCCACTGAGCTATATCTCCAGCACAGAGCTGTATTTTATTAGGATTTATTCTATTATTTTTCATACATGATTCTCAAAATATTAGTTTGTATCTCCTTTTCCCCTCAGAGATACCTACACCATGAATTTGCTTCCCCAGAATCTCACTTAGGACCAGCCAGGCATGGACACGCAGCTCAGCTGCCCTGCAGTCCATGCAGCTGCCAGAGACAAACCAATGCAACAAGCCTGGCGTGTATCCTAGTTCCAGTCCTGACTTTGTCAAGTCTCTTCTTGCTCCTCTCAAACAGTTATCTTCCCTGTAGATGAGGCCCGCCTAAGTTATCTTTTATTTGCCATCTTCTGAGTCATATGGTGATCTCTAATTGCTATCAGCACTCAGAAGGTCTGTGTCTACAACCTCTGTTGTGGGACAGTGTAGTTAGGACATTTACATAGTTGAAAAATAAAGCTAAGTCTTAAAGTTAACTCTGAATTTCTATGTTTCAACATAAAAGGTCAATTAAAAGGAATTTTAGACTTTGCCAAATTACATCACTTTGTTTTACATGTGAGGAAGAGGAGCTCTTTAATGAGTGACTAGTCTCAGACAACTCAGCTCCCAAATAGCTGGACAGGAATACCAACACAATATATCTGACATTTCTACTATATTAAGGCTTACATATAAAGTGGTATGAAAAGAAGGAAAAACTCAAGAATACATATTCTGTGGAAAATTGGTAATAAGGTGTTTTATATTTTTAAAATGAAGAAATAAAATGTATTTGGAAATGCATAGCTTTACTAAGTATAGATTTTACCCATATAAAAAGAAACACATCCTTACTTTGATTCAGGAAAATCACTGATAGTGATTCTAAATGTAGACCTTACGATCAAAGTTACGAAAATAACATGTATTTTTATTCATCTTTACTTGTATATGGATCTAACTAGTATATCTTAAATTTATCTTTTACTTTTATTTCAATTTTGAATATATATTAAGAAATCTCAATTTATGGTTTAGGCTTCTTCAGTTATATTTTATAAACTATATTAGCATTGTTTTATAAAGCAACTGCTTGTACAGTATTGGTAATACAGAAAGTGGATAAAGAAATTGTAGCCCTACCATTTGCTTAGTTAAATACCACAATTACTTTCAAAGAAATACTACTGGGAAAGTTCCCTAACTCATATCAGAGGTGCACATACCTTGGGTGATTTGAAATGGCACTTTATAGTGTCCCTTTTGGTGAAAGCTGATTTCCACTTGCCTTTGAAGTATACAGCATTCACCAGTACCATGACAGCAGACGAGCTGATGCTATTATCATTAAACACATTTTTTATTTTGCCTTTTGAAAAATTCAATGAGGAAAGAAAAGTTAGTTGGTAATGTCAATTTTAAAATATCATTTTCAGAGATCATTAATAGGTATGAAGATTTTCTCATCAAATGAAAAAATTATTTGTGGTGACAGTAGTAATAACCTATGAGCAATTAATACATCTGGCCCTTTCTAAATCTTTGAAGTGCAATATTTGAGGTAACCCTCAAAAATCAGTAGGAGATAGGCACTGGTATTGTTTCTGCTTTCTGTTGAAGAAACTGAGGCACAAAAAGGTTAGGTAATGTATACAAAATCACACAATGATATCACAACAGTAGGATTTCAGTCAGGAAGACAATCTCCAGAGTCCTTGCTCACAAGTATCTGTCTTTACTGCATTAAACCGGCCACCTCAAGTCACTGAAACACTCCAAGTATAATTTAACTTTATTCAGTTGAAGGGGGTAATTCCTTACTTACTTTGTGTTTGCCAGAAATGTTTACCCACGCTTGGCGGTAGAATAGGAACTATGAAAGCATGGCAATAATGAGTTGTATTCCAGCTCAATGTAGTTACCAACTAACAAAGCAGCTGTGACACACTAGTACCCTCTCTATGTGATCAGAGTTCTGCAGGGCACAGATTAGGGAGAACTGACCATGGATGGGGCTGTCTGCTTGAAGTAAAGGCAACGGGTGGGGGGCAATGATCTTTCTTAAAACAAAGACTTAGTGATTCAAAGACAGAAAATTCTTTCATCTCTGCAAGGTTAGAAAGGTTAGAGGCAGGAGCCAGAGGATGACGAGCCTTGAAGTCTGGTAAGAACTTCAGATTATCCCGAAAGTGATGACAAATGACTGTTCAGATTTCACCCAAAGTTAAGGAAAAGCATTCACGATGGATCAGATTTGCCTTTCAAATGGATGCTATGGGATTATGTAGAAGAGAACAGTAACTGTGATCTACATGTCGTTTAGAATATTGGCAACTTGAATTTTTCCCTCAAGTAAATATTGAATACATATGCTTAACAAGATCATTATAATCATACACATATTTGAATGAGAAAGGATTTGAATACTCCAAGTAGAAAAAGAAATTAGTAATCTAATACCCTTAAATATTAAATGCCACATGGAATACCATTTACTAAATAAGCAATAATTACATATTTTCTCTTGACTTATAAGTGCTGTAATTTGAAACTTTCAATGGCTAACAGTCAGTTACCCACTACTGTATCAGGTTACATGAATGAACAAATAGAAAACTAAGATGCTGTATTTTTATAGCAGAACTAAGATGCTGCTGTGTCTCCATTTGAGAAATTATTTTAATCTCTCTTGTGTTTCCGAAGTGAAGCCAGATTAAAAAACCATATAACACTGAGGGTACAAATCATAACCAACCCTTAGGTGAGGATGTAATAACTAGCTCTGAAATGGAACGATTAACCAAACAATAGATGAATGGTTTTCCTTATTAGTTTCAAAATACTAAATGTGCCTGTACCAACTTTATTTAATGTACTAAACTAGAATTTTGGCTAGAACTTAGTTTTTAATTGTGAAAGAGACATCAATAAAGAGCTGAACTTTTTCAGGAAGTTGTATTTTTGCCCAATTTTTTTCTAGTAAATGAAGCATTTTTTAAAAAAAATAAACTGTAACTCCTTTCAAACAAAGCAATGACATTAAAATTGATTTCTTTGACAGCAGTCTGTTGTGGCTGTGGCATTCAGATCAAAAAGAACAGTAAGATGCAAATAAACCCAATCCCAATAAAACTGCTTGAGCATTAGAACGAAATGCTGGGTTATTAGAAATAATGTCCTGCAAATCAATTCTTAGTTTTTTTCCTCTTACTTAAGGTGAGACCTTGTGGTTAATCCAGAAAATTACATCCACTTGTTATTGACTTACGAAATAGTTATAATGTGTATTTGTCTCACAGGGTTGTTTCCCAGTCAATAGAGATAATGTAAATGGCAAATTGTTTGATAAGTATAAAGCATTCAAAATATTAAGATTACACAAAGCCACATTGCCGCCTAAAGTAAAAGCCATTTTAAAAACTAGCAACAATGATTTTTGGATTAGTAGGAGCTACCCTTCATGTGTACAAAGATTCTTACATTAAGGTTGACAGTTACTAATACTCCCACTTACCTAAAAAATCTTGTAAAAAATAGAGTATTTGCACTTACCATGTGTCTCATTTTCAATCCATTTGTTAATTTTACATGTGGTGTCATCTATATCATTTGTAAAATCAACTCGCTCCACTCTGGCCTTGTACAGTTTTTCAGCACATTCAATATAGGTCTATAATTAAGAATGCACTTGAATAAAATTATGATATTTACAAATTACCACAAACTTAACCTTATAAGAAATATATTTTTGAGCTTGTCTCTTAACTTCTACTGCTTTATTCAATAAGTAAGTTCAAATCTGCCTCAAAAATGAGTACCTACAGCTGGAAGTCTACAAAAGTGATTGAAAGGGAATATAGAGAACTTACGGTTGAATTTGTATAGCAAACACTATTTCACGTTAACTCTATCTGAAATGAATTGGAAGAAACTAGTAGAGATCATGACTAAACTCATACTTTGACTTTCCACTGCTCTCTCATCCTAAATATCCCAGTGGCTTCCCTCTAGCCCTGATTCTGCTGAAAATCTTTAAATTGTACTCATTACACATATGATAAAGCCCCAAAAAGTAAAACCCAAGCTTTTGAGCCTAAGATATCTGGATGTCCTAAGCACATTCTACTTACTTCATTTTAGTCATTTTCTCCTTCATACTTTATTTAAAATTGAAAGTAGCTCTAGAATAACTAACTGTACTGGAAATATTTGAGAGGCAAAATGGGTGGTATCTCCACTTTCCAGGTTGTTAATCAGATTTCACCCTCATTCTGTTTCTGCACTTCTGAGTACACTGCTTTCTACATATTATGAATGCCAGATAAAACAAAAAGGAAATATGGAAATCTTTACTAAGTACTGGCATGAGAGACAAATCCCAGTAAGTAAAAGTGTCAGCGATTCCTTAGGGACACAGCAGTATGCATGGAAATAGAGAAACTAAATCAGATGTAATGCATATATAGCATGGTCCTTATAAAATGTGTGTAGAAAGCTTTCAGGAAGACTCCAAACCGGAGTGGTTGAGTGTTTCAGAGCTGCCACTGTAACCAAAGCATTTCAGGAGTGGTGCAAGGGAGGGGCAACAAATTTGAATGGGTGATGGACAGAAGGGACTGTGATGACCAGCTGGGACACAGAGCTGCTAATGACACATGAAGCAATTAGCCCAGGGATGTCACCGAGGCAGTGTTAGATAGTTGTCTGAGAAGTAGAGAATTAAAAGGAAGAGAAAATATGTCCAGGTAAACACAGGCAGTGTGTCTCGTTAATGGCACTACCAGGTAAGCAGCTTCTGGTGGTCACACCGATGACATTCCAAATCATAGGTGGGCTGAACACAACAGCACTGAGAATGCATTCTGTGCCTCACTTATTATTTGGTAGACAGAACGCTATGATAAATTTCACTGAAGTGGAGATTTAAAAATATTTGTCTACTGATCTCTTTTCCCCTGAGCTCCTCCGCCACCAATAACTGTCTTTATCTGGCCATATCTCCTAAAAGGGACTCATTTATAAACAATCTCATTAATAGGATAAAGAAATAACTGCTAAAAGGAGAAAGGAAAATCAGACCTTGAGAAAAAAAGGAGTGAAGAGAGAGAATTCAATCCAGTGATACTGAAATGCCTAAGTATGAAATCTAAAGGCAGCACTGATACGTGTTTTCTGATAGGTCTGACCATGTCTGCCCCACGCACCTAACTTCCGGTTTCCAACAGCCCAACAATGCCTACTTTGCTAGGAGGCGTACCCGCACCACCTGATGAGTCACATCACCTCTTGTTATAGTCACATATTCAGCCATTGTTAATTCTGCAATTTCACCCTGACTTTCATAACTTAAAACCCGGCCCACTAACCCTACTACCCTATCCATCAACTCAGTACAATAAAATGATCTTGGGCTTTCTTTTGGAATTATGCCAAGAGATCCCACTACGAACCCCCAATTTGGACTGGAATTTCTGTTCCTTAACAGGGCTCATTACCATTTATCTAACATTTTCCCCTGATTGTGCCGTGAGGCTGCACCATGCCCCCAGTACCACACACACGCAGCCACACAGACACTGCATTATAGCTCAGCATTACTGCTAGTTTGGAAGTTCTCTTCAATTTTGGAGTCCATCAATCCAAAACCAAATATGAGGATTCATTGGGTGAGAAGTTGAAATTTGGAACTATTAATGCTATTTTGAAGACACTTGGGAAAATGAATAGTTGCAAAAAGAAGATAATCACTTTTGTATGATTCAGTAGAAAGGCACAGGCCTTTGTTCACATAGTGAATTTGAAAAGATTTGGGTTCAGTAGCAAATAATCTTGTAAGATATGTTTCACTTACCTCATTGATATCAAACTCCTTTTCTGCAAAAAGACCATTGGCAATCCTGAGTTCATAGTCCTTGTGGGATGCATTTATATCACAGAGAACATTCTTCAGTTGAAACTGAAGTCTTGACTGTTTTTTTAGAAAAGGTGATAAATTTTACTTTTGGACTACAAGAATATGTATAACATCATTTATTCATGATATAAAACAATATATCTTAAGAGGTTGAAAAATGTTGCTATAAAAGCAGCAAATAAGGTTATATGTATATCCAATCTTTGACCCTTTCTCATACTAATGTCTGTGATCAAATTAAAGAACATACCAAAACAAAAAGCAAAATAAAATTATTAATACAAACAATGAATTTGTGTGATAAGTAACTAATTTTAGCAAGGCAAATTACTGGTGAATAACAAAAAAAAAAAGGCCAAATCTTTGGTTCTTTGCTATCTTACCACAATCTAGCCAATGAATATGTGAAATATTGCTAAGTAAGAAATTTTATTAAAAATATACACAAACATTTGTTTTAAAAGGATGGGGAAAGATTAAAATATATTCACACAACAATTACTTATCTCAATCATTATTCTTTTGTAAAAAAGATCTCATTGGCATTACCTGATTATTAGAAACATTTCTGTGTCCTGAGGTGGTCAACAACAGCGTCTGCAGGCAGGACACAGAAAAGCAATGTCAACCGACAGTTACCAGGGGAGGGGCTGGCAAGAGGCTTTATAAACAAAAACACTTCTTTGCTGATAAAATAGTCTAATTGCCATTTCGTGTTCCCTGGGCCTGGAGTGGGCTCGCTCCACAACTCCAAGTGAACATCAGTGAGCTGAAAGGAGAGAAATGTGTTCTAGTTTTAATTTTTATTACATTTTTCCCCTTTTTTGTAGCCTGACATTTCACAGATTCTCCTGGATTTTGAAATTTGTGTTCATTTACATAAATGCTACAGTGATAAGAAAATAGGCTCATCTGGATATAGAGCCACATGCAAATATAAAAGCTTCATTTCACCTCCCTCTTAATGTAACACTTAATAAAAACTGCCCTTAAATGGTTGAACTCAACAATTTTCAACAATCTATAGTCGACGAAATGCTACCAGAATGTTCACTATCTCAACAAAATAGCACAAAATACCAGTGTGCTCTTTTATGGTCTATATAATACTAAGTATTTTATTTTTGTTTCTCTCTTTCTTTCTTTTTTAATGAGCTGGAAGATATCATTGTAACATTTGGGCCAAAACAAGTTAGGTTATCAATTCATAGGTTCATTTAAATTTACTTAAATTTTGTCTACTAGATCCTCACCCTCCTTTTTTTTGTCGTTGCATTTGTCTTTTAGTTTTTGTGAAATCATGGAACTTGTCAAAATTTCCTACCAATTATTATCACTAATTTTTAAAGTTTCATTTTATAGAACAGTATTTTATTTGTATCAGATAAGTCTTATAATTACATTTTATGGAACAGTATTAAGTTTTACTTGTATCAGCTACGTCTTAAAATACTGTATCATTGCCATTTGATCTTTTAAAGGTTTTCCTATTCTCTCTTTTCCTTGCTTATTTTATAGAACTTTCAACATATGGAGGTTCACTAATTTTCAGAACTAAAAATTATGTGAAAACATGCATATTTTATCTAAAATATTTCTTCACATACAAAAATTCATATTTTCACAAACATGTCTTATTTCTTATATTTACATACACATTATATCATGCAAACAAGGTATTAAACAAATTTAGTTCAGAAAGTCATTTGTATTGGCCAAATGATTTTTGTCAAAAAAAAAAAAAGAGACTGATTCATTCTGATAGAGGATTTTCTCAAAATTATTCATAAATAACAGCGGTTATGAAATGCTTTTTCCCCAAACTGGACTGTTTTTACTAAACTCCATTATCATTTTTGTTGCCACCGTCTACCCCCCTGGTCATTGTAATTTTGATTTGAAGTCACATTTCAAAGTCTTCTAACAAAGCAAGAGGATTTTTTCAGGCTTTATCCCCTTTTTTCCTTTAATGTAGATTATCTTTAAAATGCTTAAAATTTGAAGATTTATGGTAAATGTTTTATTTTTAATTATCTAAGATCACAATAAAATGAATTGGAAAACTTAATAAGGAAGTTTCAAAACTTTCTTACTTATGGTATTAGGTTTTATTTTTAAATTATTGTTATATTAAGGTGTACTTTTGACCAATTTTAATTCTTTCAGGTGAATTTTGTTACAAATTGCAAGTGAATACACACGATTTGTATTTGTCTATGAAAAGATTTAAAATTTTGGCCTAGAACCTGTAGAGATCATGGGCCAGATACCCCTGGACAAATCTTGCTCTGCAGCCCACAAGAACACCAGCACTTTCTAAGTGAAAAATGTTCCTTGCATTTAAATCTATAGATCTCATGAATTAGCACTGTGAGAACAAATCATTGAAAGGCATAAGCCTCATCAATCCACAAGAACATTTATATATTTTAATAAAGCAAATATGAAAAAATGTAAGATCTTTTAATCTTAAACTTTCATTATAAGAATCTTGTTTCTCTCCAACATATAAGATATGGATAAGTTAACACCCATTCCTAACTATCTAAACAGATAATAAGATAATATCTGCTCCTATCTAAATCATAAAGTAAGAGTGTCATTAGTAACCATCACTGTCAACCATCAAGATGTAGGAGAAAGGTAGGTCATTTCAAAGGGGAGAAGTGACATATCATGCCCACTGACTTTTCCAACTAAAAGCTTCATGTGGTCCTCTTAAAATGGAATTGCAGAGAGGTCTACATATAATGCTGATGCTGTAGACATTTTAAGAGAAACAGATTTTAAGCAGAGCTGAGATACTAATGTGAGTAGTATTGGTATTATGGTTAAATACAAATAAAGAGATTTAAAACACCATTTTGACTGATGCCTGACTTTATGAATTTTGATGCAAGTTTGAATTCACTGTCTTAGAATCTAATGCAAGTTTGTTCTAATGCAAGTTTGTTCACAGTCTTAGAATCTAACGCAAGTTTGGATTCACTGTCTTAGAAAAAGACAATCATATGATAGTTTGAAGACTGACAGGGATAAGAGCAGCTTCCCATCTTTTCTAGCCAAAGCAAAACAAAACATTATAAAAGATAGTGGTATGGTTTGAGACCAGCCTGATTTAAACAGATAGTCAGACACCAGCCCATGCTATACAGATTTTGTCTGAAGAAGATCAAAAGAATGTTTTTTAAAAGTATTAGCATAACAACTTCGATGAATGAATGAATTTAAAATATAATGGGCTGTTGTGTAGAGGTTGTCCTCTTATAATAGCTTTAGTGCTGAAAGTGGTTGAATCGTCTCCTTACAACTACCAGAATTTTTAATTTGGTGACTGAAAGAATTTAAAAATATTTATTTAGAATTTTTCCAAAGTTCCCAAAGAATGGTGTATTTTGCCTTTTAAATAGAAAAGAGATTAGTATCTCCCTTAGGAAAGGTAAAATAAATAAATAAATTAAAAAAAAAAAAAAAAAAAAAACCAAAGCATTGCTATGTTTCTTCCAGCATTCATAGCATTAGATATTAGAGCTGGACATTCCAGCATTTGTAAGAGGAAAAAACACAGAGAGATGTCACATTAAGAATATAAAAAAGCAACAGATTTAAAAAAAAATAACCTTGTATACTCAAAATTCTGGTCTCTTTAAAAAAGAATATTATAAAAAAAAATCTGCCAGTGTTCTTTAAATTTGTATAAAGGCTTAACATTCATAATAATAATAATAATTGCCATAATAAAAATATTAACTGGAAGAATAAAAATAATACTTTACAGAAACAATTTCTCAGGTTACCTTTGAAAAGAGAAGGCTCTGCAAGGATGACAAGATTCTGAGGTCTCAAACACAAGGCAGTTTAACCCAAAATTCAACTGAGGCCTGGGAAGAACTCCCTGGGCAAGTTTTTTTAATGACCTAGGCAATTTTTTTCAGCTATTCCAAAAATATGCAGAGTATAGTTATTAGGGAAAGGATCAAAAACCTCCTTCCTAGCCAGAAAGTTTCTTTTACTACTCTTCATTGTTCAACAAACAATGTTGGCTTTAAACTAAATCATTTCAGAAACACACAACGATTATGAGACAGGCCAGGGCTGAGCCAAGGGGGGTGCTCTCACAGACGCCAGGGTGACCTCCATCTGGAGGTGCCTCAAAGCAGCTCAGCAGGACCACAGGAGGGGTGAGGAGGGCAGTCAGGCACACAGCCCTCACCAACCAGACCTTCTAGCAGGTTTCTCCAATGGTGCCAGACATTTCGCTCAAAGACCACAGCTGGAGTAACATTCACATCACGGGGAGTAAAAACGCCTATATCTCCTCATGCTGAGCAAGAAAGGATTCCGTTAACAAAGCAAAAATTAAAAAAGAAAAGTTGTTGAGATGCTAAGTATGTAAATTAGCTTGATTTAATCTCTCTACAATGTATACATAGATAAAAACACTATATTGCACCCTATAAATGTACACAGTTATTTGTGAACTAAAATGTTATTTTTTAAATGGTTTCTGAAAATTAAAAAATACAAGTAAAAGTAAGGTCTTAGTGAAATAAGCAAGGAATTGAGACTGTTGGTGATTGTGCTTTTATGTTTTGTTTTGTTTTGTTTTTGTTTTTAGCATAGTGCAGTCACTCTATGGGTTTGTTAAAATACAGATCGTTCATTGGCAAATGCACCATAAAGAGGAAGCGTCAATTCAGTGGCTGAAAAATGGAAAGAGTTTAATAATTTTGACTTGTGTACCCTGGAGGAGCAAGTTAATTGCTCTGTACAAGTATTAAAAAGAGTAAAATTTAAACATGGAAAATTGGTCTAGTCAAGTGGAGGCTGGAACAGACTTAACTAAAAATGAAAAGTAGTCATTAAATATCTAGGAAATATTTTAAAAGAAGCTTCCCTGAGGCTTGGGAGATATAATTTAAGATCCTGCAATTATTTTAAACTAAGCAGGTCTAGAATTTTCCTTTTCCAACGTGGCACTTGTAATACCTTTTGCTAATAATTGCTACTATGTCCAAGTATTGATTTCCTTTTGCATTTTTTCAAGTTTTTCTTAGGATTTTATATCTGTGAGATCCAAAATCCAGAACAGTTCCTCAATGAGCAAGTGATAAAATGTACTGTACATGGGGAGCCAGTCATGGAATTTTTGAGTCAAAATTAACACTTGCTATTCCCACACACACACACACCTGTAGCATAAACAGACAGTACCCAGAAATATCCATGTATTCATTTCACTTTTATTCCTCCAGCCAGTTAAAAGAATGGTCCAAAAACCTCCCAGGCAAGGTTGTCTATGTAACTGCTGGAAACCTGGTTACATATTCTGTGAAAAGGCGCAGATCTGCTTGAAGGGGTCAAGTATGCTGCATTTGACCACATCTCTCATCGGAGAGGAGAGACCCAAGATACCAAGGGCCTTTCTGATACTGGATTAAGAAATTTGTATGGAAAATTATTTAAAGCAGCTAATTTCATCATCAGTATTTGTGAGGACTTTCAAATTCAATGGCTTAGACCCCTCATCAACATCACAGCCTAACTGATGAGGGAAAAATAGAACAGAAAGTACTACAAACCTTACAAAGGTTGTGAGTGTCCATTTTAATTTTAACATGTTACCAAAAGTGGAACTTACTTCAGTTTCTCCTTCCTTTTAATGTAGAATGAGATGGAGTGAGAAACAAGGTCAGATAAACACAGCAAGCTTGATATACAAATCCATACTTATTTAAAGTTCACAAATACAGTAGACGTCAAGTGGCGGTCTACTTCTGGATCATTTAACCCTAGCTCACTGCTATTATGGAACACGAATATTTCTCCTTTTCTCTTTTGCCTTAGCAAAACACATGAATTTTCAATATCTTAAAAATATGATACTTATCTCTTCTCAACTGATTGAAAGTAAATTTATGAATAATATACACCAAGGTATTTTGGGCCGTTAAATAATTCTGTCTCAGTTTTATGATCAATTTTACTTTGCAACTCCTGTGAAATTGGTAACCTATAACTAAGACAGGAAAATTCAGCAAGGACCTTTTCCCTTACATAGAATCATTTATTTGTACCCGTATAAGGGAGTAAATAATAAGAATCATTATAACTTGAATTGTGTCATTATAACTATTTCATTCTTGTGTCTTTTCGAGATCTACATTAGAAAACAATTGAAAAGTAAAAATTGCAAATGGGAGTCACTGTTGTCAATCATTAAGAAGACAGTGAGTAGTTTCATTATACCTTTCTTTCCTAAAAGAAGAAGTCAGGAATCATAGAGTCTAATTCTCTGATCTTTAGAATAGGTCAGAAAGAAAAATTTTACCCTGGAAGACAGAAAACACAGTGACTGCTGTAGCTGATCTTTATGCAGCATTATTTTGTCTAAACAATAATTGATTTGCAATTTATAGGGCATAATTTGACCCATATTATTTATTACCATGAAAAAAGTATCTAGTGATTAATTTTAAACCCATAAAAGAAAAATAAATTGCCTCTTTGGCCAAAATTTATCAGATTTATCTTTGTAAACCTTCTATAGGTCTTTTCCAAAGGAGACTATGGATCATTTGTTTTTCATTGGGGTTTTTCTGTGAGTCATATAAATCATAAAATTATTATTTCTTTTTACAGACTGGTAGAATAAAAGATATACTATGAGTATAGTAATTATTTTTAAATGTTTGTTTTATAAAATTCCAATTTTTACAACTTTTTAATAATATTGGCATCAGAACACATGATTTCAGATAAATATAAATAGGCATAATGTATTTCAATAAAAATTTTATGTTAGAGAGAAGAGAGGAACACATACTTCCAAAAGGAAAGAAAAATAAATTGTTAATACTTTTATATTACAATGAGATAACAAATGACTATATATATTATAAATGAATGAAAAAATGCTGAACATGTAATCAAGTATATAAATAACATGTAATCAAGTATATAAATATACTCTTTTGGGTCTTTAACCATTGGAGTGGTAAGCAGTCTTCATAGTACCTTAACTTCACTGAGCCTCAAAGCATACTGATTCTTGTCTTTATTCCAGTAAATGATTCAAGATTCAAAAAGAACAGCTGAGCTTTAGGTGAGTTAAGAAAAACCAACTCAGAGCATTAGTCAAAGATATTTTGAGATTTAGGGGAAATAAATCTAATGTACAATTTGAGAATCAGAAAAAAAAAGAAAAAAGATCATCAAATACACATAGTAATGCTTAAAAGGCACACGTGATAGGAAACCATGAATTATTATTGCATCAATTGAGCTTGGGTTCACCTGAAACAAAAACATGTGGTCTATGGTGTTAAGGGTCAGATGTCATAAACAACTAATTAAGTCAAGGATGAAGCTAAAATTTAATTTCCAAAATGTGTCTTTCAAACCACTGAATTTATTTGCACAAATAAATTATGGAAATGATTCTATGATATTGACATTTTTTCTTAAGTTTCTTATAGGAAGTTATAATAAGAATTATACCAGATGTGGAGGCACACACACGTAATCCCACCTGAGACAGGAGGCTCGCTAAGAGTTTGAGGCCAGCTTGAGCTACAAAGTGAGTTCAAGGCCAGCTTGAACTACATAATGAGACCTGTCTCAAAAAGACAGCAACAACAGCAACAAAAAACAGTTATAAAGTCACACACGTAAGTAACTGGTAGGACAGTGAATATTAAAGAGCAACTCCAGCAGGACATAGCTCTCTCAGTTCTCTAGGATCCACCTCCCTTAACTGTTGACTCATGGGGTATGAGGCACTGGTGTGCATCAAGGGAACTCAAAGATTCTCCATGCAAGACTGCACCTGGCGTGAGCTCACACGGTAAGATCTAGGTGGTCCTGCGGCTGTGGGAAAGGCCCACTGCTGTGGTGGGGTGGACCCTGCTCTTCGTGGTCCGCAACATTAAACAGCAGCAACTTTGAAGCCTTTTTCTAAATTAAATACTGTCAAATGGACCTCTTCAGTGTGCAAACAAGGACTTAAAGTCCCACAGAGATGAAATAATAATCATCCTAAAGTCAGTATTTGGACCCAAGACCAACCAATTGTGTTTCCATGACACCAAATTACCTCAGTTTGTTAACCATTATATATTTCATTAATGGATGGGTGCATTTTTATGAACTGCTGAATTTTTCAAAACATTTACATCAATTTAGAAAAATACTGTCTAAAGCATCACTATAAAGTGCTCAAAGTCGCATTTCAGTATACTGACTTCAGGACAGTTGATTTCAACCAGGGATTGATTATGAAGGAGACAAAATCTCTGGAGATATTTTTTGTCATGACCTGGGATGGGGCAGTGCTACTGGCATTCAATGGAGAGAGACCAGGGATGCCACTAAACTCCCTTGCTGTGATGCACAGCCCCTCACAACAAAGAACGATCTAGCCTGATGCCAGCAGGGCCCAAGTTGACCAGCTGTGCCTTAGAAGAGCAGGCAGAGTTTAAATCGTGATACAACATGCCTCAGTGCTCAGTTGGCATGTTAACAACCCTTCCATGACATCACAATGATAGTGCTACTTTGAAGTATTATTAGGAGTATCACATAAGATTGTATTTGTAGGGCTTAACCCAGAGCGTGGCACAGATCTCATTCTCAGCTGTGTTACTGCCAACTCCTTAAGATGAGGTACACTGGGGACTGAATCATAAGCCTCTCTACCTTTTAACCAAACAGCAGTACTAGACTTACTATTAACTCACAGCAAAAGACCCTGAGCTATGCAGACAAAGAGAAGAATCATAAAATTTTAAATTACCTGCACAAAATATACTAAGTATGACAGATAACAGCATGGGCTAGCTTCCTCTAGATTAAAATCAGTAGAACCTAGAATGACTTCAAGTAGAATAAATAGTAGTAACTTCAAGACCTCTGCATGCAATCTAGACTTGGTATTTTACCTGCTCATGAACTACTGGTTTTCTATGGTAATTCCTGAGCAAAATAGAGATACTCTGGCCATGTCACTCCTTGTGTGACTAAGAGTCTAACAGTGTGTTGGGCACTGGGTAAGATAGAGAAGGAGGTGGTGGTAGTTACTATTCAGGTAGGTTTCCGTTACTTGATTTGCACCAATGTGTCATTTGTGTCCATGGAACCAATGTCTAAAATAGGATATCAATTGTATCTCCTCCTAGCTCCTCTATTCACATTTATATAATCAAATAATGGTTCTCAAAGTTTAGTGTGTGCTTGGAAAGGTTTTGAAAACCATATGGCCAGCTCCATACCCATAGTTTCTGATTTAGGAGGGTTGGGGTGGGACCCAACATTTGCATTTCTGACAAGTTCTCCAGGTGATCCTGCTGGATTAGGAAACACAGTCTGAGAACCAGAAAATAATTAGAGTTGAGTTCCTAAGAATATTCTCACTGCTTCCAACACTTGTCTAGCATGTGAGACCTTGAATTCCATCCCAGTACTGCAGACAAACAAGTAAGTGATTCAAGCTGTGTGCCTTCTTTTTGAAGAGGGGTTTATGGACATATGGAAAGATATTACATTTCGTGCTTTATGAATGCCCTGCACTGACATAGGTATCGGTGCACTGACACTTTTTTGTGTGTATGAAAATAATTTGCCTGATTTGCTTCAAAAGCCAAAACTAACCTTATCAATTTGTTGTGCACAATCACCTCGAGAACCCAAACGGATGAGGCTCAGAGCAGTGAAGATACTCAAAAAGGAAAAGAAGACATTTTCATTCCCTTGACTGTTATCCATCTCTCTGAGCAGGTTGAAGCCAAATTCTGCATTTGCTGCAGCAAGGGAGGCCATAGTAAAACAGCACACAATCTAGGAGACAATGGAAAATGAAATTAGTTCTGAGCATATTTCTTATATCTAATTCAAGTTCTATATGCATTTAAAAAATTTTAAAGCTTTGCTTCTTCAGCCTTAAATACAATTATCAAATAATTTAAAAGAGAAAGAAAAATTTGCTTTGGCCCAGCATATTCCTTACTAACACTCTAGGACTACATTTTCTGGGAAGAATGTTAAGATACACTTGTCTGATATTGTGTTCTTCAGCACAAAGATTCACCTTCTCTCCTATTCTTATACAGGGTGCATTTTTCTGGATGGGACATTTCCGTCTTTAGTGGTCTTTGAGAGACTCCTTTGCAGTTTCTAAGCATAAGCATTCATGGGTTTGCTACTTCTCAAATCAACCCAGATTTCTAAACTGATGTAGAGCAAAAGCACTGTTTACAATGAATAGTATAACATTACAGCCTATTCAAGGTGTATATAAACTGTCTATAATTTAATAAAATTTAGAGGCTTAACACATTACTTCCTTACTGCTTTTTCCATTGTGGCCTCCATATGCATTCTTTTTGTTTTGTACACCAAAAAGATTTTATTTTTCTCTTCAATTTATCTCTCTGCCTCTCTGTCTGTCTGTCTGTCTGTCTCTCTCTCTCTCTCTCTCTCTCTCTCTCTCTCTCTCACACACACACACACACACACACACACATTCTTTCTCTGTCTCTCTCTCATTTTTTGTTTTTTGATATAGCGTATCTCTGTGTAGTTCAGACAGGCCTTAAACTCACTATGTAACTTATGCTGTCCTTAAACTCATGGAGATTCACCAGCTTCAGCCTCCCAAGGGCTGGGTGACAGGCATACCCAGCTCTCAATTTTTATTTTTTACTAGTAAATGTTTGTAGTATCAATGATCACATTGCTTGTGGAGAGTTGGTACCTGTACATAATGCATCTTAATTCTGTTTGTCTTGGTATTGGGACTGAACTCAGGACTTTGTGCTTGCACTTTCCAGGCATGCATTTTGCCCCTCAGTTAAATCCCTGGCTAGGAATAATATTCTAAATAGATATCAGATCACCTTGAGGAAGCCAGAAGGAGCCACTACTCAATCCCTTACAGGTAAAGGCCCTGTTTTATATTCATGTGCACTTGCTACGTGACTAGTTTCCCCATTTGATTCTGATTTAATCAATTTTACCTGAGCAATTACACTCAGAATCTTAGTTTTGTCCCACCTCATGCCTGCCTGACAAATTCCCATTTTTCCCTATCTTGGGCCTGTCTCACCTCATGATTTTGCTCTATAAAGATTCTAGAAAAGACAGGGGAGGGTCCTCAGCAACCCGCTGGGAACCTCTTCTGGCTCTTTGTCAGTCTCACACAGAAGCTCTCTTTCTCTCAAGAAATATATTCCGCTCTTGACTTCCATTGCTCCTAAAATTCTATTTTTGAGAACAGGAACTCGTACTGAACGTCTATTAGGCTGGAGTTTCATTCCCTTATATCAGTAAGGGGGCTGCTGATAGCACCATGAGAACAGCGGGTGATCATAGCGTCTGGTTTCCCAAGGGACTTCATGGTAAAAGAAGTTGGTAGTGATATAGGGGAAAGAAATTCCCAACCTACTAGATGCTCTGTATAAGGTCATGTTCTCTAAAATCAAAGAGTGAATTTGAGAAACAACAGAGGTCAAGAGCAGAAATATTTATTGAAAGAAAGCAAGCTTCTGTCTGAGAGACAGAAGAAGTCCTGAGTGGGTTGCTCAATGCGTCTTAATTCTTAGAGCAATCATTCATTTTCAATTTTTAAAAGATAATACTAATTTCAAACATAATACGTCCTTAGTCCCATACATGTATTCATTCTTCTAAGGCCATTTTCTGAACTTTTAAAATGGGAAACACAGTTATTGCAGTATACATTATGAAAATATTTGATTTTCTAGCTCATATCTATTGCTTACTAGAAAATCTAGGCTGCAACAGCAAATTTAAATTTGAAGAGTAAAATAAGATTATCTTTCACAGTATTGTTTCTGAAATATAGAGGATGCCATCACCATGGAATTCTGAAGAGATGTAAGTTGCCATTTTTGTTTTGTAGACATTGTCTACAAAATGAATCCAATATGACAAAGTAGGATTACTTCAGATTAAATCAACTTGCATGAACGCCTCAAATTATTGTCTTTGAACATTTCATAATATCCTGTAGACATCTCATATTGTGACAAGTTCCAAGAGTCATAAATGCTATCAGGCCCAGTTATACTCCCAAGATTGTTATTAAAAGAGTTGTGTGACTGGGCTGGGGATTTAGCTCAGCGGCATAAGCCCCTGCCTTGCAAGCAGGCAGTCGTGAGTTCAATCCCCGGTACCGATAAAAATGAAAAAGACAAAAAAAAAAAAAGAGTTTGTGTGACTTGTGTTGTCTTTAATTTCTCTGAGTTTCTAAGGTTCAGGTTATTCAGTGAGATGAGCTTTTCATGGAATCTAGCATAATGCCAATCAATAGAAAATCATGCTCTTTTCTAGCTTTCATGCTATAAAATGAGTGCACCATACTACTAGGCATCTGATACAGAGAGGAGCAGTGTGGAGAAGAAAGAATATCCTGAAGTGGAAGAAACACTTGTGTACATGATTAGAGCCACAAATAATTAATGTCCTGGATGATAGATATTGAGAAGTAATAAAATTTTCAAATGAGAATGGCAGTGAGACAGGGCTGCAGGGGACAGAAGGAAGAGAAAAGAAAAAGAGAATAGAAAGAGAAAAATGAGAACAAAGCTTTTGTAAATGGGAGGAGGAAGAAAGGCTGAAAGGAAGGGAGGGAAATAGGCAAATAAGAACAATCAAGATGTATTATATATGGGTATAAATTCCCTATGATCATGTGACATTATGGATATCAAAAGTGTACCAATAAAATTAATTTAAACAATAAATCAAATGAGATTGAAGTAAATCTTTTCTATTTTCATCAAATGGGACCTTGAGTTTGAACAACTAACAACTATTCTTATAATAGACATTCAATGAATTCAAACTGCTATATTTATTGTTTTCTATAAAATGGTAATAATCTAGTCGTTTTAGTGAACAAAAAATTTAGATATAAGACACTTACAAAGTACACTTGGAATTCCAAGCCCAAAGAGTAATAACTGAGGCAGCAAGCTGTAATGTTTCCTCAAGATAAAAGTCTGTTTCTTCTATTTGGAAGGCCCATTCCTCAATTATACTCCAGAGGCATAGGTTTTTTAAAAAGCCATTCACACCCCATCCACTCTTTATTCCAAGAAATAAAATCTGTACTCTTTTAGAAGTTCTCCAGGGCAGGGGCTGTTGCTCAGTGGTACAGTGCTTCCCTAACTTGCAGGAGGCTCTGGGTGTGATCTCCAGAACCACAAGACAATGAGTAAATAAGCAAACAAACAAATAAGATAAAATTAACTCAGAAAAACATGAAGTTCACTTCATATCTAACCCAAGTAACTCATGTTAATGAACAGAGGCCGTTGTTACTGCGCCACTAGAGAAAGGCTGGGAGGGACAGCAAGGTATGAGAGCTCGTAGGTACAGGGAAGAGCTGCATGTTGGGTGACACTGGCAGTTCCTAAGGCTTCCAGAGTTTTCAAGGATGCAAATCCTATTTCAGACCTGGAAAGTAAGTATTGCTTCTAAAATATGAAAAAATAAGCTCAGTATTTAAAAACATGCAATCAAATGCATGAAAGTGAAGCATGCATTGATTTTCTAACTTAATGCTAGTAAGAATTTCCTTACTTTTAAGAGTAAAATGTATGCTATGTTCTCCCCCTTCAAAAAGATTTCCAAGACTTGTTGAAAATTATGGACAATGCTATATGAAATGAATCAGTCTTAGAAAGTAACTTGAAAAGCAAAACCATAATAATCTTTTCCAAATATTTACTGTGGAGATTAAGTAGATTTTCAGTCTATTACAACACAATGGTATTATATGGCTAGCTGCTTTAAATCAAGACTGCATTAAATGACTGTTTAAGATCCTTTTTGTATATTTCATTGGAGATCTGGAAGCTACCTGGTGGTATTATATCCCAAACTGTAAAAAACACGCTTTCAGGTGCACTTTTTTGGGTAAAGCCTCAATTCTTCCTCTTACCTTAAAACTTGTTTCTTTCTATCTTATCACTTTGGTAGCACTTTTTAAAAGTTATTCTTTAATTGTTTTCTAAGTAATAATCACAAATTTTCTAAATTTCATCTATCCTGATACTTTTCCACAAAGCTATCATATTGATGAAATATAAAAGCTACACTGAAATTTGTCCTTTCAGGAGATGAAGTACATTTTTTTAAAACCTAAGACAATTTCTGTGGCACAGAAATCTTACTAAACAAAAATTATTACAGAAAAACATGAGCCAAGACATTCCTAGACAAAAATAAATTTTTTAAGCCTTAACTGTTAGAATGATAGGTACTCAATTTTATGTGCCTAAAAACCTTTGCACAGACATGTTCACTAATGCTGAAAATCATTTCCAAAAGTATGTTCCCTTCAGGTAACTGTCTTTATTATCTTTCTCTGTCCAGGTGCACTGTAATTTCTAGCAATGAAATTAAGAATCTTCCTTCTTCATCTTCCTTCTGCATCTAGTGAACCTCACTAGCAAATAGACAGCTTTTATTTCAGGCTGAAAGAGTTATTCTATGCCCCAAGTTTTCGTAAATGGATAGATGAAAAAAATTAGTATGGGACCAAAACCGTGATTTTTCTTTCCCATATAATTATTTTCACAACAACTTAAAAATGAATGAATAAAAAATGAACAAAAATAAACTTTAAAAACCACTGAGTACCAAATGACTTGGGTATGCATGAAAAACTAAAATAAAGCTACAGAGGATGTCAATGTGATAATATCCAGGATACACTCGTCAGACAGAGTGCTGATGAAAAATTCTTTTCAAATTATAAAAGAACTTGATCTTTGTAGAGTAATTTTCATTTTATCAAAATATACCACACT